TCTCTTCACCCCACTCCTCCTCACTTATTATTCACATTCATGGCCTCTGTCACACAGTTATCATCCCTTTCTCAGATGTTCCTTCAATTTCACTCCTTTTTTCTAGTTGTCTTACATTTTGAGTACAAAGACTTCAGTGGCTCAAGATGGTGGTTTACCATCTCGGGGCAATTTTGTATGGGCTACAAATGTTGGCCTAGCTAGTGACACCACTGTCTCGTGAAAGGATAAGAAAAACTGTCTTCCTCTTAAACTTTCTCTCTGATCCAGTTACTTCCTTTATCACTGGAATGGTCTTTTCTTCATTTGTAATGAACATTTTTTTTTCCTGACTAATCTCTAATTTACACAAGTGATGGCAAAAATATCTCCATGACTAGAAAGTTTGGAAAACCAGCATGGATTTGTGAAAGGTAACTCATGCTTAATAAACCTACTGGGATTTTGGAGGATGTATCCAATGGAATAGATAAAGGAAACAAGTGATTGTCGTGTACTTGGATTTCAGAAGTTTTCTGTTGAAGTCTTTCATAGTAGGGTAAAGTGGTCAAAATTAAAGCCCATGAGATGGGGGAAGTACATTAGCATGGATCACAAATTGATTAACAGACAGGAAACCGAATGGGATTAATTGGGTCTTTTTCCAGGTGGCAGGCAATGACTCGTGGGATACCACATGAATCAGTATTGAGCCCCAGTTATTTGTATGTATGAATGATCTGGAAGAGGGAACCAAATGCAAAATTTCCAAGTTTGCTAACGCCACAAAATGGACAGAACTGTCATTGTGAGTTGTGATGTACGGAGGTTGCAAGGAGATGTAGACAAGTTGAGTGAATGGGAAAGCATGTGGCAGTTGAAGTACAATGTGGCTAATTGATGTTATACACTTAGGCATGAAAAACAGAAAGGAAAGGTATTATTTAGCCGTGATATATTGGTAAGTGTGGTTATCAAACTGGATCTGGATGTCTTTGGACGCCAATCAATGAAGGCAGGTGCAGCAAGCACTTGGGATGCCGAATGGTATATTGGCCTTCATTGCAAGAGGGTTTGAGATGAGAAATAGGGATATGCTGCTATAGTTATTCAGAGCTTTGGTCAAACCACATTTGGAGTATTGCATGTAGTTTTGGTTTCCCTACCTAATAAAGGATATACTTGCCATAGAGGGAGCGCAACAAACCTTCACTAGGCTGATAATAGGGATGGCAGGTTTGTCCTATGAAGCCAGGTTGGTTCCACTGGGCCTCTATTCACTTGAGTTTGGAAGGATGAGGGAGGATCTAACTGAAATATTTAAAATTCTAACATGGCTAGACAAGCTTGATACAGGGAGGAACAAGCGCAAAATTTAGCAGAAAAGCTCAGCAGGTCTGGCAACATCTGTGGAGAGAAGTCAGTTAACGTTTCGGATCCATTGACCCTTCCTTTTAGATACACGGAGGATGCTGTCCCTAGTTGCGTAATTTAGAACCGGGGACAGACTCAAGATGTGGTGTAGACTCTTTGGAACTGCAATGGGAAAAGAAAACTCTTCACTCGAAGGGGAGTGAACCTTTGGAATGCTCAACCACAGAAAGCTGTGGAGGCCAACCCATTGAACATATGCAACAAAGAGATAAATACTTCTTTTAGCTTCTAAAGGCATCAAAGGGTATGTGGTGAAAGCAGGAACATGGCATTGAGATAGACGAACAGCAATGATCATATTGAATGGCAGAGCGGACTCAAAGCACTGAATGGCCAATTCCTGCTCCTGGTTTCTATGTCTGGCTTTTGAAGGCTTTAGCTGCTATAATCCTTATAACTGTTTGTCACCAATAAAGTGCTTTCAGGACAGCTTACAGGAACAATTCAAAGACCTATCAAGAAATCCAAGGAGACTGGCTGCTTTCATCAGTTACAGATCTTATGGCAAATTTCCTTCTGATAATCGCATCTGCATATGAGCGTGCTTCACTCTACTCACTAGGGGCTTTCCAAATTCAAAGCAAAATTAATTTTCCATTCTTCCCTGTAGGCGTGGATCCACCATAGATATGACCTTGCATTTCACAATAAACAAGTGTAATGTGTTCGGGGGCGAGAGGAGGAGGGGGAATCTCTTGATAGGAAGTTAGAATATTAGTGAGTTTCATTTGTGTGTTTGAAGACAACACACTTTTCCTTTCAGAGGTGATTGATTGATGCTCGTTTTCAGGTAAATGTTAAGTAGGTTCTATTCCCATCTCAATTTTTATCTGTTCATCGAAGTGATAGTTCTATGATTAATAGAATTTTATGAATAAAGTATTTCAACAGATGCTACAAGCCGGATGAGTTAAGAAAATAATCAGCCCTGATCTGATTGGATGATAGTTTTATAGTATCGTATAGTAGTTACTTGGCCTTTTAGCTATTTTAAAATCAATCTCTTCTGAAATGTTATTACCTTTGGAGCAGGTAGGACTTGAACGCAGGCCTTCTAGTTCCGAGGCATGCGCATTATCACTGCACTATAACAACCCCAAGGCACTAATCCTTTCCTTAGGGAAACTTACCGTCCTCACTTGATCTGGCCTAACTGTGACACCGGACCCATAGCAACATGTTTGATTCATCGCTGCCGTCTGAAATGGTCACTGGGTTCAAGGGTAATTAGGGATGGGCAACAAATACTGTCCTAGCTGGCGGTGCCCACATCCAATTGAATATTTTAATTGAGGATGAAATTCCTCAACGTGTGTTAAGCACGATCGGAGAACTGCACTCCCTACAACATCTGCGTGACATGTCTCTCATAGAATCCCTACAGTGTGGAACAGGCCCTTCGGGGCAACAAGTCCACACCGACCCTCACACCCTGTAACCCACCTAATGTGCACATCCCTGGACACTGGGGGCAATTTAGCATGGCCAATTTCCCTACCCTGCACATCTTCGGACTGTGGGAGGAAACAGGAGCAGACACGGGGGGACAATGTGCAAACTCCACGCAGGCAGTCGTCCGAGGATGGAATCGAACCCGGGCCTCTGGCGCTATGAGATAGCAGTGCTAACCACTGAGTCATGGTGCCGCCTTGGAAAACCTCAGCAGGTCTGGTGAAGAGAAATCAGAGTTAACATTTCGAGTCCGGTGACCCTTCCTTCTGAGCTTTTCCAGCAATCTCTATTTTTGTTTCTAATCCAGGATGGTTCTCGACATGCGCGTTATATTCCAACTCCCACGCCCACCCCACCCCGTATAAGAATGTCCCTCGAATTACTTTTGTCGAATCCTTTATTCATTTCGTGCAAAGGATGAGGGCATCGCTGACTAGGCAGCATTTATTGCCCATCCCTAAATTGCCCAGAGGACAGTTAATAGTCAACAACATTGCTGTGGGTCTGGAGTCACATGTAGGCCAGACCAGGTAAAGATGACAGTTTCCTTCCCGAAACGACATTGGTGAATAAATTCTGCACTGCACTGCACACAATGATCGCCCTGCTGTACAGGAACTCGCTAATCGCTTCTCCTCGGAGAATTTTTTTTTGATTATACAAATGGCATCCGGTCCAACTCGAGCAAAAAAAAATACACCCACACACCCACTAACCACATCACCATCCCCTCCACCAACTCCTCTTCTCCCCACACGCGCATCCTTCCACTTCCCCTGCCCCCAGCCCGGGCTTGAGCCGGACGTTTCGCAACATTGCGCAGAGCCTGAGATGAGCAGAGTGCCTCTGACGGTCTGCCTCTGACCGTGTGCCCCGCTAACAAAAGCGACATTAGCAACGGCCTCGTCAAGAAGTATCGGCAGAGGCCCGCGAGTCAGAGTTTCCGTTGATCATTTCATCTAGAAAACGCTGACATCAGAAATGTCAAAGATTGCGCAAAAAGCCCGGCGTGGCTGCAACAGCAGCAGGAAAGGTCTGTAAAGAGTCAGAACAGGAGAGTCTTTGCAGACTAAATAGCACAGAAATCTGAGCAGCAGCTTCCCCCTCCAAAACATACACGTTCATTTCTCTGCACCCACACACTGTTCAATAGGCGTGAGTTTCAACAGATTATTTATGCAACGTCCCGGCATGGTAACAGAAAATCCACTTAAAAATTACTTTTGTGTACTTTACTCAATTTGTAGTACCTAATCATTACCGTGAGCGAACAGTTTTGAAACAGTATTAGACGGCAGTCTTGCCCTTTCTCATACTTAAAGGCTAATTTTGCGTTCAGTGGGGAGTTGAGCCAAATAACCTGGAGTTACTTTCTTTTTCAAGAGGAAGTTAAGTACAGAGGATAAAGGATATACAAAGAGGACGAACAGGTATAGGTACAATGGCAATGTCAGTGGTGTAGTAACTCAGAGGCCGGTCTAATGTTACAGGGGGTGAAATCTCTCTGTATGTAGTACCTGGTGGAATTTAAATTCCATTTAAAAATCTGGGATTGCGCGCTTAACCTATCATCAGCTGTATAAACCCATCCAGTTGCAAGGGAAGTATGTCATCCTTATCTGATCTGGCCTGTATGCGAAACTAAACAAGTATCAACGTGATTCATTTTCAACTACCCTCTGGAATAGCCCAGCAAACAATTCAGTACAAGCCAAAGGAGGGACATGCTTAGCTTATTGGGGGTGGGGAGTGCAAGAGTCACGTGAGGCAGTAGCATGGATGGGACCCCAACAGGGCTGAATCCCCTATTTCTGTAGAGATAATATACCAGGCAGAATATATACATAATGTGTTCCTGTGTCCCACATCGCCCTGCATTGAGAGACCGGAACTGCGGAGTCAATGCTGGGCACTGGCAGCTTAATAATTTCATATCGAAATAGCAGCTTGCTGCTCCTTAAAGGTTGTGTCAAAAAATAAGCCGAACACTTCGGTCAGAATAGCATGAGGCAATTCACGCCAACACATAAACAGTCGCGACATAAAATTGCTAACTGCTATCGTTTCGCACCCCAAGGTGCTTTATTCAAATTTGCATTTGTGGCTGTTAAAATGAAATAAAAAATTCTGCAGAATTCAACAATCAAGACACACTTTATTTCACAAGGTCCCACTCGTTATCTCCCAGTTGACTTGGCAGAACTCCTGAAATAGTTGAATATGAGATGAGATGGCAAAAGTAAAGTTGCTGGAAAAGCTCAGCAGGTCTGGCAGCATCTGTGAAGGAAAAAAAATAACATTTCGGGTCCGGTGACCCTTCCTCAGATCCTTTCGGTTTTTATTTAGTATTTAACTCACTGCCACATCTCTTCTAGGCATGCCTGTTCTGAGGAAGAGTCACCGGATACGAAACGTTAACTCTGTTTTATTTTCCTTCACAGATGCTGCCAGACCTGCTGAGCTTTCCAGCAGCTTCTGTTTTTGTTCCTGATTTACAGCATCCGCAGTTCTTTCGGTTTTTTATGAGATGAGATGAGGTGACCAGAACTTTCCTCCCTGCCTCGTCATCCCAGCTGACTCCCACAGTCTGACCAGTAAAAGGAGTACTCCAGTTGGTACTTGGTCAGGTGATCTTCCACGAGAATTGCGGGGCTGGGGTTGGCTGGTAAAGTTGGATTTGTTGGTTGGGAACTCCGGGCTCGCTCAGTCGGAACTGGCTTAAGAGCTCAGGCGAGGGGTCGGGGGAGGTGGGGAAGACTGACTCTTATCCATTGCCTCTCTCTCGACATTCCAGAAAGTGGGCGTGCGTGAACTCCTGAAAACAGCAGCGAACTGAAGGATCAGTAGTCGGTAGAGGCTCGCCCGCCAAATTCCTGGGTGACTTTAACCGAATACGCCCTTTAAAGGGGCTGATGGAATCGGGTACAGCCTGATTCTGATCTCTACTGAAGGCAATGCAGACTGATAGTGATCGCAGTGCATAGGAGTTCGGGGAAATATGAACTTAAGGTGGTGTGTGAGGAGATGGATGGGGAGCAGAGACGCCTTGCATCCTGTCAATTATTCTTCATGACGAAATCAAAATAATAAATTCATTTCCACTTGTAACTATTTCACTGTACAACATCCCACACAGTGTAAACTATGAATTTAAAATGGCAATTGTTACTGTTTTGGGGGGTGGGGGGATTGTATTCTTGGTATAGGGCGTGATTTGTCTATTCATTATTGACGTAATACTAATCAGGCGAAATATTAAAACAACACAGAGAAAGAAAATCATCTCTAGCCTTCAGGAAAGTAACTGTGGTATGGCTGAGGATCTTAAATAATGTCTGCTTGAGCCGTGGTGGTACATTGACTCTGTCGTTGCGGTTAGGTCTGCATGTCCTGGTTTCGCCCAAAATGGACGTAGTCCGCATTTTCCATCCTGTGTTGCTCTTTGGGCTTCCTTTTCTTCTTCTTCCCTTCTTGACCGGAGCTCGAAGTATTTCCCTCTCGGTGCTTTGAGAAACATGTACACAGTGAACGGTCAGATGAATTGTTTACAAACCACTCGGCTCTAGGACAAGTAGAGACAGAATGCTAGCCTTGACAGTGATGCCCACACCCCACGAATGAGATCGTGCCTGAATTAATAATGTTCAACTCCACTTTCCTGCCTTTTCGCCCTTCTCCCCAATTCTCTTTGACATGATTAAGGGCTTAGGGAGCAATATCCAGAAAACCCCACTGTACATGTAGTTTCAACACAACGGGTTTTTTTTTCTCTTAAAATATCATTAAACTTCACAAGTGTGGATGGTTTGAAAGGATGTGGGATCGAGAGGTAGAGACTGCATATCCATGGTCCACCAGACAAAACTATGGGTGAATATTTCGGCTCAGATTTAAAAGGCCAAATTTGTGAAGATATAAGCGAGACTGGAAGATACACCCAGCTTGAGCTGGAAGGAGCATTTTCAGGGAACTGAACTTTCACATCGAAAAGTGTTTCCAGGATGGCAATGAAAACGAATGTTTTTAGGAGCGGAAAATGCTTCCGGAAGAATTGAATGTCTATTTAACAGAGAAAATAAAGTGCTGGATTTTTGGTTGTATTAAAAATAAAAGGGGAAATTCTGCTCAGTCGTTTGAAAGATAACTGCAGAGCGAATCAATGTTTCTTTTAGCTTGTTGGAGTAAAATTTGAAAATTTGAAATTCTTTAAGTTGGTCACTTGGATGCTGTTTTACGTTTTAATAAAGTTATGGGCGGCTTGGTGGATCCGTGGTTAGCAGTGCCTCCTCACAGCACTAGTGACCTAGGTTCGAGTCCGCTCCCCGGGCGACCGTCTGGGTGGATTTTGTGCGTTCTCCTCGTATCTACGTGGGTTTCCTCTCAAAGTGAAAACCTGTGTAGATTAGGTATATTGGTCGTGCTAAATTACCAGTAGTGTTCAGGGATGGGGAATGCAGGGATAGGATAGGGAAGTGAGCCTGGGTGGGATGCTCCTTGGAGGGTCAGTATGGGGTCGATGGGCAGAATGGTCTGCTTCCACACTGTAGGGATTCTATGATTCTGCATCGAGATGGGAAGAAAACTGTCAAGCCTTTTGAAAGAATATGTGGGGAAATGGCATCAGAACGGCGGATTTCAGTCAGGAAGGATAGTTAGTGCTATTTTCCTTAAAGCAGAACATTTGAAGGAACAATGTAATAAAACTATTCAAAATCTTGGAGGATTTTGATACAGTAAATTGGGACAAATTATTTCAAGAGTCTTGAAAGATGTTAATCAAAGGAAACAGGGTTTTAGTTACAGTATTATGTAATGTAAAGGAGATAGTTAATCTTGTTGTAACAAACTTTAGAGATGAATGAGCATAATATGGTAGAATTTTACATAATGTTTGAAAGTGAAGTAGTTCAACCTGAAACAAGGGTGTTAAATTTGAATAAAGGAAGTTATTAAAGCATGAGACACAAAGGGGCTGAGGTGGATTGAACAATTATATTCAAATTCACAAGTGTACATAGGCAAAGGACAGTATTTAAAGAATTAGCGCATGACTTTGGACAAATATACATTTCTTCACGATAGAAAATTGCAAAAAGGATCTGTCAAACATGGTTAACAAAGGAAGTTCTGGACTGTATAAGGTTAAAAGAAAAGGCCTAAAAAGTTGTCAGAAATAGAAGTAAATATGAGGATTGGAAGCTTTTTAGAGGTCCAAGAAACAGATATGGCAAGGGAGAATAAAATATGAATGCAATCTAACAACTTCTAAAAAAAATGGCCGAAAATGTTACTATAGACACGTTAATGTGGGTCCTTACAGGCAGTCATGACAATTTATGATGGGAACTAGAGAAATTGCAGAGAAGCTAAATGGTTATTTTATGTCTGTTTTCACCGGGGAACATACAAGAAATCTCCTAGAGCTAGAAGTCCAAATGGCTATGGAGAATGAGGAGCTAAAGGAAATTAACATTAGTAAGAAGATTGTACTGGAGAAATTAATGGGCCTGGAAGTTGATAAATCCCAGAACTTGATATTGTGCATCCCAGAGATTTACGATGGTGGCTATTGTGCATTGATGATTATCTTCCAAAATTATATAGATTCTGGAAAGATTTCTGTTATTTGGAAGGTAGCAGATGTCATGACCTTATTTAAGAAGGAGTCAGAGAGAAAACAAGGAACTAAGGCCCGTTTGCCTTACATCAATAGTAGAGAAAGAGCTAGAATCAATTAAAAAGGATGTGATAAATAGACACTTGAATAATAACGATCTGATTGGGCATAGCATGGATTTGCAAATAGGAAAATCACGTTTGCCGAAATTGTTGGAGGTTTTTGAAGATGTTACTAAAAACATTGATTAAAAAAAAGGAGCTGATGAAGAAGGTGTACTTAGACTTTCAGACGGCTTTTGATAGTCTTTTGAATTTCAGAAGATTTTTGATTTGTCCTGCACAGGCTTAATAATTAGTAAGCAGATAGAAAACAGACAGTAGGAATGATTGGGTATTTCACACATTGGCAGTCTGTGACTAGAGGGCATCACAACAATTAGTACTTGGACACTAGCGGTTCACAATATCTATCAATGATATTGAGTGGGTGATCCAAATATTTCCAAATTTGCAAAATGCACAAAGCACAAATGGAACTATATGTGGTGAGGTAGATGTGAAGCAGCTTCAGGAGGATTTGGACAGACTTCGTGAATATACAAGAACGTGGCAATATAATGTGAAGTTATTCACTTTGGTAGGAGGAACTAATGTTCAGGGAACTTCCTAAATAGTAAGAGGTTGGAAAGTGTAGCCATGCAAAGAGTCTTAGAGGTGTCTTTGTTGATAAATGACTGAAAGCTAACATATAGGTGCAGCAATCTATTAGGAAGGTTATTGGAATGTATCCTTAATGGCAAGAGGATTTGAGTACAGGCGTAGTGAAGTCTTGCTTCAATTCTGAAGTTCTGAAATTCAGGTTCTGAAGAAGGGTTCCAACCCGAAATGTCATACTCCTCTTATGCTGCCTGACCTGCTGTGTTCTTCCAGCTCCACACTGTGTGTGTTCTGACTCCAGCATCTGTAGTTCTTTGTATCTATCAGTAGTGAAGTCTTGCTTCAATTGCATAGGCGCTTGGTTAGACTGCACCTGGTGTACTGTTCCTGGGGTTGTGGAACTGTTCTATGAGGACAGATTGAGCAAACTGGCCTGTATTCTTTCGAGTTTTGTATAATGAAAAGTGATTTTATTAAATCTGATAACATACTCAAATAGATAGACAAGGCAGATACAGGAAAGATCCTTCCTATGGCTGGAGAATCTAGAATGAGAGGGTACATTTTATAATTAAGAAGATTGCAAATCTGGTCCAAAACGATGAGAATTATTTCTTCCTCAGAGATCTGTGAACCTTTGCAATTCACTACCACATGGGGCTATGAAAGTTCTGGCATTGTGGATGTGTTTAAGGTCGAGGTTTGTGGCTTCCTCATTACCAGTGGTTTTGCAGGGTTATATGGATGGGGTGGGTAAAAGGTATTGAAGTGTTTGATTGGCCATGATCATATAGAATGGCAGAGCAGATTCAGTCTGAATGGCCAACTTCTGTTCCAATGCACCTGTGACATTTTATTGGTGGAATTTTCAAGTAAGATCCTACTTACAGTGTGCTTCCCTTTCTGTTTTCGTGGGACAGACTCTATTGGAAAGAAATAACAATGGGTTAGCAAAACATATACATGCAAAACAGAATGTCATAAATGTAACAACACATCCATTTATTTACCTAACCTAATCTGTTAACTTGTATGGCTAAATTCAAACGAAATTCATTAATTACTACATCTTTCGTATTTACAAATATATTTAGAACAATATTAACTACTGGACTTTTGGAAATGTGATGCCATTTATGGCCAAGTAGCACAATGTAAGGTAATTTTTTTTTCTTACTCATAACTGACATTGTTGTAAACAGGAGTAGCGTTTGAATCTAGATAAATTTGTACACGTTACCAGACATGAGAACGCAAATGTGGGATTGCTTTAAGATTGATCCTGAATGTTCTGCAAATTGACTTTTATTTTTTGACACAGTGATCATAGTGTACCTGTAGGGCATCTAATTTTCTCTGCATAGTTTTTGCTTATTGAAATTTAAATTTACAATGCATAAAAATGGGGATAAACGCAAAAATTACAGCGTTTCTCCACTGCATCTAACAATCCGATAAATATTTCCAACGTAACCCCTCTGTGATTCCATTTTAAAAGAAATGCTGCTGTGCATTTTCAATGTTGTTAACCATTTTTTGAATGTGGGAACAGGAAATGGCCATTCTGCCCCTGAAGACTGACATGTCATCTCATCTGCACCCAAATTCATTTATCTCCTTGGTTTGATAGTACTTAATAACCTACAGAACAAAAGAAAAAAAAACTAATCCTAGTTTTCTAGTTTATATATTCATTCCCTTTCTGGGCATTACTATTGAGTCTGCTCCAATCATCCTTTCATACTCTACATTCCAGGTCATACCATTAGCTACAGTTCAACAAAAATCTCTTCAACTTGCCCCAATTCATTTGCCTGAGATCTGCGTCTTATGTTTGCCGGCAGATGTGAGGAGTGTAACGGCCTCTCGTTCACGCCAGGATTAAAGGGTTTCAGCTATAGGGACAGGCTGAGTAAGCAGGGGCTATTTTCCCTGGAGCGTCGGAGGCTGAGAGGTGACCTATAGAGGTTTATAAAATCATGAAGGGCATGGATAGGGTGAATAACCAACGTCTCTTCCCCAGGCTAGGGGAGTCAAAACCTAGAGGGCATAGGTTTAAGGTGAGAGGGGAAAGATTTAAAAGAGACCTGAGGGGCAACGTTTTCACCCAGAGGTTGGTGCGTGTATGGAATGGGCTGCCAGGGGAAGTGTTGGAGGCTGGAACAATTACAACATTTAAAAGACATCTGGATGTGTGCATGAATAGGAAGGGTTTAAAGGAATATGGGCCAAATGCTGGCAAATATGACTAGATTAATTTTGGATATCTGGTCGACATGGATGAGTTGGGCCGAAGGGACTATTTCCGGCCATATAACTATGTGACTCTATGATCTCTCTACCGGTGAAGGTAGATTCTCTTTATGGAATCAATTGGTTGGAATGGTGTATCGGACCCGAATTTTAAGAACAAAAGTCTAGAGAAGATCGGTCTGCATGAAATCAGTGGATTTTGAACGGAATTCCTTTGTAAACAACGTGAGCAAATATAGGACTTGTATTAAGGTAGTGGGAGTGTTGGGAGAAGGGGGATGAATAAATTTATTGATATCGAGGGGATTAAAAGACAGCGAGGGAGAAACTAGATACACAGCTTGCAAGGGGAAGGATGAGATGTGTACAAAATGATGCAGAAGTGGATCGATAAGATTTGGAAGTTATTGTAACAGATTCAACAGCTAAAGGCAAAGAAAAATTCCAATCATATAATGGAGACAGTATTCACCGAGAGAGGTTCATATCTGGGTTAATTAAGTCAAGTTGAAGATAAATTCAAGCTTCAGGTAAACTTCTGAACATTCATCAATTTCTCCTTGTTACCCTCAGAGATGTGAAACCTACAGGTCTCCATATTTCTTTATCCCGCTTAAAATTGTATCCATTTAGTTGTATTAAAATCCAACACACATACTGTGACAAAGTCACGCATCCTAAGGATAGGTTGCTTATGTATATAAGACGGTAAAACACCCTGAGATGGTGAGCGAGAATAGGCCGAAGGGACGTTTCACTCAAATCGATTTATGACCTGTCAAGTTCCTTTCTGCAAGTTAGAAATCAGTTACCTGCTGACTTTTCAGTGATGTATGCAACAAACTGCCTGTGGGAGATGAAAACGCACGATTAACAAATGTATTCGGCATTACGATGTTTGCACTTCAATGGAGGTAGGAATCAGAGCATGGGGACCGAGAGAGATGGTTCAATTACAGATCAGAGAGAAAGCAGGGGACTAGAGTAAACGAAAGTAGTGTATAAACTCACCTCTGAAGAGCAATGCAGGCTGCAAAGAACAAAAAAGTCACAAACTGATTTAATCTGAATACAAGATGAGTATTTGAATCGCAGTTTCAATCCTAGCCATATATACTTATGATTAACTCGCCAATAGATGTGAACACATCATAGAGTGGCAAGATTGTCACTGCACTCCCGTTCATGCATGATTCGCCCCAATTCCGTGGTTCCTCCCAATTCACAAAAATAATCAAAAACTTCATGACAATGATTAAAGTGTCTTTCACTTTGCAGCGACTGCGTAAAATTGTCACTATCAGACTTGTCTCTGAAACACGATTGGCGATGTTTGCACTCTACATTTACACGCATAGGCCTCTGGTGGCACGATAGTGGTATCCCTACATCTGAGCTAGAAGACACGCGTTTGAGTCCCACTTGCTCCAGTTATGATGCGTTTGAGTACTGTGGTATGCTGGTATACATTCTACACCCACACTGATGGGTAAGTATGCTATATGGCCCACTCTAAGGGACCTCGTTGCACCGTGGTAATGCCAGCTTCAAGTCACACCTGCACTTTCTAAAGCTAGCTATGCTGTTGTGATCATTTTGTATTAGAAGAAATGAGAAGATTGCTGTTCATTTCCCAATCCGAGGAGCTCAAAGTTGAGGAAATTCTAGTCAAAGGTCGAAAGGTTGGGATAAATGAACGGAAGAATGGTAACTTTTGCAACATGGGAAACTTTGGCTTTGGAATCCAGGAGCTCATTGACCTGGGCATCAAGTAGCTTTTGATGCTAGTATTAGAATTTACAGCTGGATTTCTAGGTGGTCATGGGCGGCCTGGTTTCAGCATTTCTGATTTTAAAAAAGTGAAAAGGGGCGCGCACTGGCTCAAAACACAAGATTTTCCAGGAAGAATCGATGAGTTGGTTTCAGCTAAAATATAATCGCATCCTCCTGTAAGGAAAGTAATTTGAAGAGCGCATGAAAAGGAAGTAGAATCAAGTTGTAACAGTAAAAAAAAATCCTGAACAGATTGATTAGAAAATATCTACGTTCCTGATTATAAAAAATCTTTTTTTATTATTCCTTCTTGGCGTGTGTGTGCGTCTGGCAACCGATGTTTATCGCCTATACCGAGTTGACTTTGGAAACGGGATAGCGGGTCTATCTACGTGAATCGCTCCAGTTAGCTGTGATAATGTGGGCTCTTGCGGTGCTGTTAGCTGGGGCTGTACAAAGATAAACACCCAGTGGCGACAGGAGACGCCAAAGTCAGGCCGGTGCATGATGTGCATAGGAGAGGGAGCGCGGGGTAAATAGCACAGCCGCAGTTATAAATTGACAGGAGAACTTCACAAAGAACTGGAGGCTAAATGAGGTGGAACTCATTAGTTTTGAAATCCGGGGAAATAAGATGAGCTGAAAAGCAGAAAATTTCGGCTGGAAATAATGAGGACCCTACAGGTTGAAAGGCATGTGTTTAAAGTTTCGGTAGGACGGTATCCGCCGCAGTAGGAACAATAATAGATTGAACAAATGAAGTACCTTTACTTCGTTGCCTGAGTTGTACAGACACTACAATCAGTGCTATGCAAAGAACCAACACCACTGCTGTAACCGCTGCGATATGTACGATATTGGGGGGACATTGCTTTTCTTGTGAAACACCTAAAATGATAGCGGGAACAAAAGTTTGACAAGCGTCGGTTCCTCAGCAAATGGATGCCAATTCTCTCCGAAGACTTGCTGTTTCACATTCAACGACGGGGATCTCAGCAATGGACTTTCTTAACGTATTGACGCTGATTTTCTGCAACAGTCGCGGACGTACACACAGTCACAGGGACACACAAACATACTCTCACAGCCTGTTCTCACAGGCTGCAAAAGACGTAATCACAAAAGTCACATATACTAACTCGCAGAGGCACACCAGACGCCCATATGCATGGACATTCACACAGAGACGTACAATATCATGTATATGCACTCAAATACACACTCCCCCAGGGTCAGACTCCCATTCTCCAAGGGATGCTGAGCCACTGAGGCGTATGTATGTCAGTCTGAGGACCAACATGTGTCACAGATATATCTTCACAGGCTCGCACTCACGAAACAATTCACCCGCGTGTGGACAATCTCACACGGAGAGATACACAAGGTTAAACTCTCTCCTGCATTCACACAGATATCTGCACACACACACGCACACACACACACACACGCACTCAGACATGTCCAGACATACACGCACGCCGATACATAGTAACACACACACACACATACACAACAAAGTTGCAGAAATCTCTTACGCCTCACTCCAAGTTTCGTCCCTACGCCCTTAAACTGGTTGCCGAGTTTCTGTATGACGCAATAATATGTCCCGGAATCGCATTCTGTGAGGTTCCTGATCCGCAAATTAATCAGCAATGGATTATCAGACGTTAGTGGGTTGTCAGTTACTCTCTCGGCGTACATTGGGATGGCTTGAAGTATTGGAAGATCATTTTTCAGCCATTTGTAAGTTTTGGGTCCAGGGCTATTGATGTTGCACTGCAGCGTCACGGTCTCGCCTTCTACCAAATCCGCTGAAAGAGGCGACTGCACTACGACTTCTTCATTTGAGTGAACTCCTGTTAGGAATAAAACATTGCTTCAGCCATCGCTCGCTTGTTCGTGCTTGGAGCACCCACCGAACACACCTCACGCTCCCCCCCCCCCCCAACCCCCACCCCCCCACCCTTCACCCCTCATGTATTAGCTCAAGGTTAGATTTGGGTTACTGAACACGCCTCTTTCTTTCTTTATCCATGCCTTAACTTCCTTTCTCGATTCGAAAGGGGAATGTTTCACTAGCACCTCCCCTTCTTCCCACACCCCCTTCCCCACCCCTCAGCCCTTTTCTCTGTGCCTGGAACACCGTCTGTTCGTCCTGCTCGGCGTTACACGCTGTTGGTTTTCTTGAGGTTTGTGAGGGAGTCAGAGTTTGAATGGAGCTTTAGTTTAGAGGATAGGGATGGGAGAGGACTGGTGGTGGAGGGTCCTGAACCTGGAAATATGAGGGCCACAGCTCTTACACCTTACAAGGGAGATCTTGGTGTTGGCCATGACGAGCATCAGCCGATCCAACTCCCACCAACCCCTGCCAATGTGCCGGGCTAGTGCCATTGGAGATAAAAACCGAAAGAACTGCGGATGCTGTAAATAAGGAACAAAAACAGAAGTTGCTGGAAAAGCTCAGCAGGTCTGGCAGCATCTGTGAAGAAAAAAGTCAGAATTAACATTTCGGGCCCACTGACCCTTCCTCAGAACAGCACTAGCATCCACATCCAGAAGATCATCAGCTGCCATTTCCACCACCTCCAGTGAGATACCACCAAGACCCTGAGCTCCAGTTGCCTGTCACTCTAACACACCACCCTGTTCCCTGGCCAACATCTCTGTCTCTGGTTTGCTGCGTGTTCCAGCGAAGCCTAACGCAAGCTGGAAGAAAAACACCTCATTTTCTGCTTGGGGACCCCGCAGCCCTCCAGGCTCAATGCGGAGTTCAATAATTTTTGGGCCTGAGCTCTCCCGTGTCCTAGCCCCCTACCCCACACACCTGGCCTTGTTATCATATAGCCTGCCATTACACACTACCTATTGTTAGCCACTATTAAAAGCTGTTCGCCCTCCTAGCCAGATGGTTATCAAATCCTTTGTCTGTCCAACTGTTCTTCTCTAAAAAAAAAGCAGTTCTGAGTGAAGGGTTACTGGACACCAGACGTTAGCTCTGATTTATCTTCACAGATACTGCCAGACTTGCTGAGTTTTCAGCAATTTCTATTTTAGTGCCATTGGAATCTCGGCTCCGAGTGTTCCCGAAACGATTGGAGACCCTAAAGCACAGGGTCCGGGCGTTTGGAACTCAGTAAATCGTGTAACAGCACTTCTGTCCCCATAATTTCTCACCAACACCACACCCCTCCTTGCCATTAACTGCCCACTCCTCCTCAGGAATGCACAGGTACTTTACAAAATCTTACCTGTGGTCCAGAGGAAAGACATTAAGGCCAAGGCAGCGATAGAACACAAATTCATGGCCACTTCCCCACAGCGGCGAACTGCTGTGTTGACGGTAAAGGCAGGTTTCCGACTGCAGTGTATTCGACTGGTCTGAGCGCGCAAAAACACCGTATTAGGCAGCTTGGACTCGCTCCCAGTTTAGGACGTCAGGAAGCGAGGACGGAAGTAAAACCACCCAGCTCACACAAGGCTTTGGGTTGCAAGGTTGAAAATGTTACCGGTCTTCTGCTTTTCACTTTCCTAACTCTGCTTCCTCGCAGTGGGATTTCAGTTCCTGCGAATAAGCTTTGACATTGTCTAACCAGGTCAAAGTTGGCGGCAGCACATCGTGTTGAAAGAGACTGTTTTGTAGAATCTGCTGCGCCTATGTGGCCTTGTATTCTGGTGTTGTAGCTCACCGCACAGGAATGCAAGCCTGGGGAGCACAAGTAAGCCGTTCGGCCCCTCGAGTCTGTTCCAGCATTCAATCAGATCACGCTTGCTTTTGTTGTGATCTTCGCTTTCCACAACCCTAAACTCCCTCACCCATTAAAAAAAAAGTTGCCTAAGGCAGCCTGGAATGCATTTTGAAGATCCAGCCACCGCTGTCTCCCGCGTAAGAAAACTCCAACTCCTCAGAGAGAAGGCTTGTCTCTACATAGCCATCTTTGTTACCTTCTCGTCCACTCAATCTATCACTGCATCTCAGCGTGATTCTGCGCGCTCTCTCAACTCACAGCCTAACAGTGTATGCCATCTCTTAGCTAAAGTAACTCTCCGTCCCTTCGTCTGCGTGGCTAACATCGACTGTGGATAGCTGCTGTTGTACCAATGGTACTTGGAGCTGTCCACTCGTTACTACCTCCTGATAACCTAAAACTGCTACATTCCCCGATTCTAGTTTATCTACCGTGTTAGTTACATGCTTAAAAGTACGGAATGAATTTGTTAAACGCAATTCCCCTCCCATCAAACAATTTCCTAAATATATCTTGAAATACAGCTGCTGCAAACAATTGCCGTGTATCTGATCAGCTCAGTAACACTTCTTGGGAAGCTGGTTAAAGGGCAACAAGAAAACATAACACAACCTGGGTGTTGCCAAAGTGAACAGTCTGTATAAATTTCCAGAAGACTTATAGTTATTACTTATTTAATCATGAATTCCAGCAATGGTGGATATCAGGCTGCCGGCTTAATCTTCTGTCTGGGTTCTATCTTGTGAGGTTATTTTCCCTGGAGTGTCGGAGTTGTAAGGACAACCTTAGAGAAGTTAATAAAATCATGAAGGGCGCAGATAGGGTAAATGGCTAAGGTATTTTTTTTTTCCAGGGTAGGCGAGTGCAAAATTTAAAGGCGTAGGTTTAAGGCGAGAGGGGAAAGATTTAAAAGGGACCCGAAGGGCAACATTTTCACGCTGAGGGTGGTGCGTGTATGGAATGAGCTGCCAGAGGAGGTAGTGGAGGCTGGTACAATTATATAATTTAAAAAGCATCTGGATAGGTACACGGATAGGACGGGTTTAGAGGGATATGGGCTAAATGCTGGTAAGTTGGTCTAGATTTATTTAGGATTCCTGTTCGGCAAGGATGAGTTGGATGGAAGAATCATTGACAGTCTATAACTCAGTGCACATTTGCTACATTCCACCGGTTCCGAATCTACCGTCCATGGTGTCATGGATGAACTTAGACAGACTGATGAAGTTATACAGACTGTTCACTTTGGGAACACCCAGGTTGTGTTATGTTTTCTTGCTGTTCTTGAACCAGCTTCCCAAGAAGTGTTACTGAGCTGATCAGATACACGGCAATTGTTTGCAGCAGCAATATTTCAAAATGCATACGAGGTTCGCCTCAAGAGCAGTCCATTGGTTTGGAGACTTGCTTAGAAGCCCCACTCATAGCTGAGGGTGAGAGAAATGCAAATTCTTCAAATGTCTATAATTACCGTTTAAAATACCATCTCGTGTGGTCAACGGCAGGGCTACGTGAGTTGCTACTTAGTTTCGAGGGGCTGAACATCCTGTTTATCAGCTTCACAGTCACCCCATTATATATGTTGGCAGTGCGCCAAAACGAAACAAATTTGGGCCTTTGGGAGACTTTTGGTCAAATTAGCAAACTCTCAAGCTAAATTCTGGTGTGGTCCCCGTCTAAATCGAAACGTTTGAAGAGTGTTAAGACCACGGAATTTTGGCTGTCAAGCATTGTAGTTAGGCTGGGAAGGAAGGATGGGGAAGAAGAGTGGTGGCGGGAGGGGGAGGTGAAGGGGTCGGGGAGTAAGGGGGCGGAAGGAGAGGGAAAAACAATGGGAGAAGGGAGGGAGAAAGGAGATGTTAGAGGGGAAAGAGAAGGTAAGGGAGAGAGGGAAAACACTGCGATTTGTCTGCAGCAAAAATGCAGAGAATCGCTTCAGTTAATATTCTACCTGCAGGTAATGTAAGAATTCTTTCCGGTACTTTTGTTTTTTCAGGATTTTGTAGGTGGGCATAGGCAGATTTCAAAACTGTTACTTTTAGAATGTGCCTACTTTCGCTAAAGAAAACAAAAGTTACTTGCAAAAAAATGCATTTTCTCAAACTGGCTTATGACGTCGCCCAGGGAAAGAATACTAATCCTCATAAGTTTTTGTTTTCATATTTGAAGCCAGCAATCCTACAAGACAAACAGGAAAATGGCATTAATTTCCACAAAATAATTTGTTTCAAATAAATATGTGGAGAAAGTTATCTGAGAGAATATAATTGGATTATTCGTGAGGACGCGGGACTAAAACATCATACAGCGCCGAAGAGGCCCTTCGGCCCATCGAGTCGGCTCTGACCAATGGAAACTATTCTCAATACCCAGCATGTGGCCCAAGGTCTTGAATGTTATGACATTTCACGCGCTCATCTAAGCATCTTTTCAAAGACTGTGATGCCTCTATTACCCTCCCAGGCAGATCATTCTAAATTCGAGCCACCCAAAAAAACCCCTCAAATCTGCGGTCAACCGCCTGCCCTTCCCCTTAAAATTATGCGCCTTGTTATTGACCCGTTAGCTAATAACTTATTTTTCTGTTACTGAGGCGAAGCTGCTTCCTTTGTGTCCGATTTCCATTTAAAAATCAGAAGTCGGCTATTCGGCCCCTTCAAACCTGCTCGCGCTTCAGGGTTGATCTGGCTGTGATCTCAGCCAGATTTTCCTTTTGTCTACCACCTCCCCCACTCCACTTGCTTTCCACACGAAGCCCTGGTCTGCCTTGTGTATCACAAATCTATCTAATTCTGCCTTGAAAAACGTCTACAACAAACCAAGGTAGGTGTCTACAACGCGCTGTCACGGGTGGTCGTGGAGGCAGATACGATAATGGCGTTTAAGGGACTTTTGGATAAGCACATGAGTATGCAAGGAATGGAGGGACATGGACCAAAGGCAGGCAGAATGGATTAGTTTAATTTGGGGTCATGTTCGACACAACAACGTGGGGGTAAGAGCCTGTTGCTGTGCTGTGCAGTTCTATGTTCTAAGAAAGTTTGCACTCCCCCCTGAGGAATCCCACAGATTAACATCTCCCTGAAATAAAATTAACTCTCCCCATCTCTATATAAAGAGGGAAATGTCTTGTTTTCTGGTTCTGGTCTCCTCCTACCTACCCACCCCTATATCCACCCCTCAACGCCCACAAGCACCCCCCCCCCCCCCCCCCCCCCCCCCCCCCCCCCCCCCCCCCCCCCCACCCACCTACGTCCCCCCGTCCCACACCGCCCCCCCCCACCCCGCCCCCACCAAACCTCCCGCCTCTGGAGGAAACATCCTGCCAGTACCCACATATCAGGCCCAGTTAGGTTCAAGAAGGTAGCTCGTTCCCACCCTCTGAAGGGCGATTCCAACTGGGCAACAAATGCTGGCGTGCCAAGTGATACCTACACCGAATAAACGAGCAAAAATAAATATTTACAACACGCATACTTCAAAGAAGACGAAAGCGAGTGCCAGAATGATTATGTTTCTCTCCATCTCCATATCTGCAGAGTAGAAATTAGAGGAACGTTGTTTCTTTGACTGTTAACTGGCAGGAAAATTGCAACGCTCTCCGCCGGCCGGCTCGCTGTTTCCCGAAGTCAGTGTGCATAAGAAAGCACTCAGCTCTCGATGGCTAAGTAACTCAGTGCTCACGGTGGAACTGTGCCGATGACCGCAGGTATTTATATCGGGGGACATTTTAACAAGGACTGTCCAGTTTCAGAACCTGCAATTTTACAGAAAATGATGTGTTTATAGTTTGAAGTACAGGACTTCTATGCGGTCTCTTAGGAAGTGAAATCTTCATCCATATCGCTACAAAAGAGGATGTAATACTTTCATCAACAGGCAGAGAAAGTTTTTCTATGTCAACACGACTTTTATCACCAGCCCAGTTCAGCAAAACAAGGCCACATCCTGTTGCTGTTATTTTCTATGACATGTGGAACTGCTCTTAACGGCCATCACGAAAACGATTTCCTTTACCGTCGTGAATTACCTTTGCCTTGATTTAATCTCGTGTCTTGATAGGTTTTATTTTGTTCCTTAATGTGGAACAATATTTTGTAACTAATAAATGACCTCTTTCCATGAAGAGAGGCGGAAGATGGAACGAGAGTTTGACTTGGTAATTAAGTTCAATTGTACTTCGAATCATGATATTTAAAAGAGAATTTGCACCTCATTGGTTATGACTTATTGTGTTACGTGGGTTGTTAATGTTGGCCTACGTTGACATCCGGTCGAGTTTAAAATCCTTTGTTTTCAAGCTCTCCGAGGACCGATTGCTTCCTACTTCCGTATTCTCCTCCAATTCTACATGTCATACAGATCTCCAGTGTATATCTAATTCTTGTCATTTGGTAATCTTTGACTGGATGTGCTTCACTATTGAGCAATCATGCCTTCAACTGCCTCGGCCATTAGCTCTGCAACTGTCTCCTTCGACCTCTCTTCTGAAAGGATACTTACAAACAGAAAAAAAGGAACTTACCAAAGTCACCTGTTCTAATATCTCTAATATTTGATAGACTTTCAATTTCACTCTGCTCGAGGTGTTGCGTAAATTGAATGTGAGGAGAATCTAGAAGCTAAGGGATATATTAAATTTAATTTGGATTTTAAACATATAATGGGTCTGATTTTTGATATTTGAGACATTTCTCCTTATGTAATCATAAGGAGAAATGATTACACCTCTGCAAATCTGACCTCACTATAAATGTAAGGTTATATGAAAATTGAAATACGTGTTTCCAGCTAATAATGATTTTTTTCAGAATAAGGAGGG